ATTATAATGTAAACCATCTCTAAAATGTTGACAAGCATCACACAAGTCAGTTCTTGGACTCATAATTTGAATTTCTGGTGTCAATTGATGTCATAATTTTCTGAAGGCATCATATTTTAAGGATTTCAAATTATTATCTTCTTCTAGACCAGCCTGAAAATCTCTATGTACTGATTTATAACTCATTTCAGCTTGTAAAAATTTAACTGATCAAGTTATTCTATTGTTACTTCTTCCTGGACTTGGTAATCAATGGACTTCTGCATAATTTTCCAGAAAATTTTTTACTACTTCTGCAACATTTTTATCAATCACCATCTTAGATTTTCATTGAGGCATCCTTTTAATATTGCCATGAATTCTTGGCAGAAGACCATTATTTATCAGATGATTCCTAATATTTTCAAAGTAAGTTCTACCAATTCCTAACATATTGAGATAAGTTTCTTGACAAAGCAGTATATTGTGATCTCAATGATAGAAAGTTCTTTTATTAGATCTGTTTTTCTTTTTAAGGTGTCTGCTAGTGCTTACTGATCTTCCATCCATTACTTTAAGTTGGGCCATTAAAAATATGTCTTGTTCTGATTTAGAAAGAGCTTGAAATGATTACCTTAATTCTGCAAATTGTTCTTCAGGAATTCTTGAAGAACATCAATAAATTAATATTTAGTGTTCAATATTGCAAACATTAATTCAATATAAAAATAAATTTTTTTGTGCACCCATTATTTCACACAATCGTTCTTTTTAGTGGAAGAAAAGAGTGGGAGAGTTGGAGAGAGAAGTTAATATGCTGAAGCAAAAGCTGAAAGATTTAGAAAAAAAATCAACACATAAAATTATTTATCTGTTTGGTATGCTGTTCAACAGAAAGTTAAGCACACGTGATTCAGTATGTTCTGCAAAGGCAACATCAAACAATATGATAAAACACTAATGTGGACCAGAACAATGTATTAATGTAAATTATTACATAAAACAACATGTAAATCAATGTGTAGAATGCATAGTATTGTATTATTTATTTATTATATAACATGTGGTATATATATCATAATAAAAATGCTTATAGATAAATAGTAATAAAATATAAAATTAAAATTAAACCAATTTTAAATGAAATATGCATTTTGCATAAATGGTTAAAATTCCATTGTTTCATGTGTTCCTGTACCTTCAAAGCCGAAATTTCAGCCTGATCATATTTTGGATCCAAGAACATCAAGATTACCATAACACCAAATATGATATTATCTTTTATATTTTAGTTCTTAATGCTCTCTGCAAGATGGCTTCAATTATATATGGGGAGTTCTGATCATTTATATCCATCTTGTCCCAGAGATTGCATTTTGCTTGTTTAACTTTTTCAGATTCTTTCAACACCTAACTTTTTTGGAGCTGGCAAAATTGATTGAAAAAGATATAATTAAAATCTTTTATTATGTGCTTCTGAAAGTGCAAAAGTATTCTAATGTCTATATCAATAAAATATATGGATTATTTATTATTATTAATGTAAATTTTTTTTAAATTACAAATTTTAAAAAAAAATATACAATTGAATATCCAGCATTCCAAAAATGATCCCATCCATCCGAATTGATAAGCTTGTGCATATTCTGAGAATAGTTAGTTTGAACTTGCAATTTGAAAGCTTGTTCAATTTCTCCATCCAATGGATTTTTGTTTGCTTGAAAAAGCTGATGACATGTATTCGTCATTGAAGCCCAAGATAAATGCAGTTGAAAATAATTATTTATATATAAAGTTTAATAATAACAATGTTATGTTTCGGTATTTATATCCCACCACAGATGCTTTGTATCTTTTCTCTTTAACCATTGTTTTGGTCGTTGGTCAGTCTTTATGATAATGAACCCGATGTTAACTTGTTTTGAATGTTTTCCAGAAGCTTATTATTTTTGGAGATCTTTATACCATACGTTCTGCAAGAGTTATACCATACTATAATCTTAAAAGCTGCATTTTTTACCATGTTGATAAATCGCGTGTTAGATATTGTGTAAAGTTTTACAACATAGTATCATATGACATCAACTGGGTCCCTGCGGCAATTTTACTTCATTATGCAGGATGGTACATATGCGCAACAATATTTTTATATGCTACGCTAATTGATACTTTTCTAAATATGGGCTATGCTATTTTTTTTTGGAACATTCTAAACTTTGAAACATGATGTAAAAGCAAATTTCCTTTGAGTTATTTAGCAAATGTTACAAGATTGAACTTTACTATATAACTTAAAATTTACCTAAACCACGATTTACAGAATATTTCAAAGTTCCTAATGATCACGGATCTTTTATTTTAAATTTCGATGCGCGTGATGTCATTAGATGATTCATTTCACTAATCATAAAAATGTATCACTCTTCCTACAAGCGAAAGCTCGACGAAATTATACAGGTACGACACAAAGATAAGGTTTGATAACAGCATAGTTGTCAAAGTTCCACAGGTTTTGGTAACAAGTAAGAAAACAAGATTTTAAGTACTTTTTTTTTCCGTAAATGAGTCATTACTATTTAACATAAAAAAAGTATCAAACAGATCCCGATATAAATTTGTTGCGCAGAAAAAGACCTTCGCTATTTACCCCAAATTTAGAAAACAAGAAATTATCTGAAATTTTTACCCTGAAATTTCGGCCGAGATACTGTATCTGATCAGACAATAATTTATGTTGTTAATATAGATTATGTAAAAAAAATAATTTTTGGTCAGAGGCCTCTTTCTCTTGGAGTTGTTTTCCCGATTGCTTTGAAATACGCCAAATTGCAAAATGAATTTTTTATTTATTGAAAAAATGGGAATATCACAAGACTATTTTTTTAATTGGTTTATTGTGTTTGAGCCCTACATCTTTCATTAAATAAATAAAAATACATTACATGTAGCACTAAAATAAAAAATAATACTTATAAATATTTGATTTTTCAGCTTCTCTTCAAACTTCTCCTCAAACTTCTCCTCAAACTTCTCTTTAGCTTCTTTTTGTATAAATAATCATATATGGGCGATCACATAAAGATTATATATAAAAAGGTCATGGGTAGTAAAAAACATAAAAAAAATAGTATTAAAAATATTAAAGATTTGGAATCAGTTGAAAATAATAATACAGGGAAAAAGAACTCCCTTACTAAAAAAATATTGGTTAAACTAGGAATATTATCTCAAAATTCTGCCGCTGCTGAAAACACACCTCCAAATAACATTCCAGAAGTAAATAATTTCGAAATTCTTGCAAGACAAAACCAAGATCAAATGAGGAGTGTTGATTCTGCCACAAAAATTGCAACTGCTTGGCGTTCTCATAGGTAACAACAACATTTCACTTTTGTATAAATATACGATATGTGAAATACAATATTAATTTTTTTAAAATTATAGGAAATTGCGAGAACAGAAAGGAAAGATAGTGTCTGCAAAATCCAGAAGCGTTTTACAACAAGAAAATAGAACATGCTTACACTTACCTGGTATAGAAGGTAAAACCGAGACATGTCCGGTATGGAGTCAATGGTTAGAATTTCTTGATGAATTGGAGATGACACGTCTTAGAGAATCATCATCAAACGAACCATTAAGTAATATTCAAAAATTTGGACATGCAGCTGGGCGTATTGGAAGGGTATTTCTACATTTCTATATTTTGATGTTTATTATTATTAGTATTATTATTATTATTATTATTATTATTATTATTATTATATGATTTTGATCTGATGATTGATTTTACATTAAATAAAAATTTTTTTTTCATTCATTTCGAAATAATTAAAGGGATCAAATTCAGTTAAAGATCATCTCTGGTTAATTTTGGATACAGAGCATTGGTTAGAACTTTATGATCGTAAACATAGATATGGTGCAAATCTAAAGGTAAATGTTAAAATTTAAAAGATAATGAATTTGCATGTATGATTGCTATAATTTTATTAATATTTACAAAATATAAAATTTCATAGATTTACCATGATTATTGGCTAAAATCCACTACTCCAGAGAATTTTTTTGAATGGTTGGATAAGGGGGAAGGAAAGGATTTAGATCTCAAAGAAAGACCACGTGAAAAACTTGAACGTCAAAAGGTGAAATATCTTGGTAAAAAAGAAAGAGAAGATTACGAGGTGACATTTAAAGATGGGTTATTAATTTATCGGAAAAGTTGTGAGCCAGTACACACAAACCCCCCTGAAAATTTCACTCCATTCAGATCATCATCACCTACATTGTCCACTAATCCCCAAGCACAAGAACTAGCAACAACACAAACAACGGATAACAATCAAACGTCGTCGACATTATTACTACATCCAAATCATTCACGAGCACCATCACCTGTACCTAGTTCTCAAGGAAGCTTCTTGGATGATGAAGATGGAGCACCCGAGAAATGGATATATGTAACTGATTGTACAGGAAAGTTTTATGTTGGTAAAAAAATTAAAGGTGATTTTCACCACTCATCTTTCCTGGCGGGTGGGGCTATATGTGCAGCAGGAGGAATCAAGGTCAGAAACGGGAAGCTTCTTGAGATCAATCCTAAAAGTGGCCATTACAAGCCTTCACAAAAACATTTCGAAGCCTTAGTTGAACGATTAAGAACCGAAGGTATTGATGTTGACAGTGATGACGTGAGAGTTGTTTGTCCAAATGATATATTGGAGAGACACTTGATGAATAAATTTCAGTCGAAAAGAGCTGTACTATACGAAAATCTAGTAAAAACCTCGGAGGAAATACTTGCTCAACAAAAACAAGCACAGATACGACAGAAACAAGAGTAGCAACAATAGCAAGGAATTGTTGACGATGGTAAAAAATAATATTGAAAAAAAAATATTTATTAACAAATATAATTATATAAAAAAAAACAAATAATTTTCAAATAATTTAATTATTTAATATTTATTTATCTATTATATTATATTTATTTATCTATTAATTTATTTACTATCCATAAATTTATTTTTTTCTTTTTTTTTCTTTTTTTTCTTTGGATTTTTTTTTGATTTTCTGATTTTATTATATCATCATATATCATCATCATCATCAGATTTTTTTATTATCCATCATTAGATACACACATCTTTTTCAATTTTTTTTCTTTAATTTTTTTGATATTGTTAATTAAAATAAACATAGTCAACATATATATAATAGTAATTAATAACTAATAATGAACTATACACATGAAGATTATAATATATTCAATGACCATCCACTTCCAAATAAGACCCTCCATAGTTGTTAGCCTTTAGCACTTTTTTTAAAAAAAAAAAAAAATGCTGTAGCGAAACGTTTTGGCAATTTATTGCAATAATAAATTTCGGAACACATTAATAATGTTATTCTGTCGCTTTTTATTATTTAAGTGAGAGAAGTTTTTATGATTTCTCAAAGGATCGATTGTGGAACAGAAAATAAAAATCGGATCGATGAGTCATCCAGATTTAATGATTTCGATAATAAATAAAGAATCAATATACGTGGTGAGATGAGGGGTATATTATTTTGCCAATGTCTCAATAAAATGGCTTACTTTTTTTGGATAAGACTTAATTGGCCAAGGAAGGAGGATCCTGGAATTAATTGGATCGCTTCATTTTAATAGATGCGGTGGTTTATAGAAATGACGACTACAAAAAAAAAAATTAAAAATAAATCAATGATGGAATTAATCTATTCTATTTATAAATTAAAACATTAATTTAACCTTTTTTTTTGTTTTACCACAATTGGAAATAATAATAATAATAAAAAATAATATAATAAATACTATAATGACCAAAGATCATCTACAGATATGGAAGTTTCCCAGTCGTACTGTTTCGCCACGAGGATGTTTCCGGATTAGTATTTAATAATTAATATAACGGGAATTTTTTAATATTTATTAAATTAAATAAATAAATAATAACTTTATTCCATACTATCCATGTTTAATATTCTCATAGTGATGGTTGATTAGGTTGATTAATTACCCTTTCAAAAGTCATATGATGACGTTGATAAATCGAGGAATGATTTTCAAGCGCAAGAACTCTCGTACAACAAGTAACAAATTCAGATTACGTAATTTTCGAGATAAAAAAAAAAAAAGACGGCCAGATTTGGTGTGCCAAACATTTAAATCATTTTAGTTCTCAATGCCATACCATTAATTTTTTCCAATGCACTTTATACATTGTTTAATTTATGATAGATATACATTGTTTTTAACTGATGATCTGCGTTGCTTTTAATTTATATTATTTATGGTGCGTAAATAAATTAAAAATGAAAAATATTATTTTTTTTTAAAAAAAAATTAAATCCAGGTAATTGAATATGCCCAAAATTCCTTAACGAGAACGAATAAATCCTGGAGTCTCATTCAATTCATACTGTTATTGAAAGTAGCACACATTATCAAAATTTAGTTCAAAATTTAATCATACCTATGATCAATTGAATAATAAAATATCCTTCCTTCCTTACCAATGAATTTGAAAAAAATTTTTTTTTGCAAACCCATAATTATAATTTCTAAAATGTGATAATCTCTTGGGTAGGTGGTAACGTTTTAGGAGAATGTAAATATCCCATTTTTTTTAATTATGATATAAAAAAGAAAAGACACTTGATGCGCATCAAATAAAAATAAAAATAAAAAAATAATGACACGGCATTGAAAATTAATAATAATAACAACAACAACAACAACAATAATGATGAGGATGATTTGAATTGTTTTTGTTTGTCTTGTCATATTTATTTAGCAAATTTAAATAGTCTTTCATTCCCCCGAATTGCGAATTAAATAAAAAAAAAGAATACATTTTATCATTACAAACCTTTTTAAAAGATAATGGCTTGCATGATTGGAATAATTATGCTATGCCAATAGTTTGAAGAAAAAAAATCCAAATTCTGCCTCGATTGTTATATCTAATTAAAAGATATTCACCACATAACTTTATTTAGATATGTGTAACATTAGAAGAATAATTCGTATATACAAATAAGTGTCAATAATTCCACAAACAACGGTGATTAGATCTTATAAACAGGTTTTTTTCACACACACATGAAGATCATATCACTACCGACATGCCATTGTCCTGCTACAGCGTTAAATAACATCAACTTTTAAAACATGAACTTTGAATTGAAGATTGGTTTGCCAAATGAGCAGAAGAAATAATAATAATAATAATAATGTAACTGAAAACAAAAAGTCATTTACCAAAATAACAAGTGTGTCCATCTTCAAATCAGGAGATTTTATATATTATTGTCATGTATTTGGCATTTTTGGATTGAAACAGTTTTTGATCTTCAAAATTATTAGTGATAAATGGTTACACGTGACATTAATTATATTTCAAACGCTTAAAAATTCCCCCGTGTAAATAAAATAAAATAAATAAATAAATAAATTAATTAATTAATAAATTAATTAATTAATCTATTCATAGAAATCAAACCATGAATTCAAATTTTAAGTTTGAGAAAATGTCTGATCGTGAGTTTAACTTTATATCATTGTTAATTTACCGGCAAGAAATATCGATTGAATATTCTTTTCAAAAAAAAAACCCCCCATATTTATTGAAATATTAGTTTCATATGCCACATACCCACCAGCAAATATGCGTCATCATTCGCTCCAAAGATACCAAAAAGGATATTGCACCAGACATATATTTGATCGACCGATCGATGGTGGAGTCTGCAGTTCCATCCATTCATTCATTTATTCACGGGGATGAATGAATGACTACGTTTGCGAAAAAAATAAAAAAAATTTTTTTTTCAATTAAAAAAAAGCGAGACGAGCTTCGACAGTAAAGTTGGATAGATTAATCATTAAACAACTTAATTCATCAACTTTTATCTTGGCTAAATTTTACAATTCATTGAATTCGACCCATTCAGGAATTAGTTCCTCATAGAAACTAATTTCTTTAATAATATGAATGGAATGGACTCTTTAACATCTGACACTCATCCTTTATAGATAATTTATAACTTGCATGTGAAAACGAATTTTTTGTTAAAATAACGAATTTCTAATATTTATATATACAAAGTATATAAAGCAAGAGAATTCTCGTCTCTGAAAAAAAAATTTTTACCTTACTACAATAAAATATAGAAATACCGAAAACAACTTTCTTTATTTAAATAATACCTTTCACGAAGTCTCGTTATTTGCAAGCAAGGAATAAAAGTTTTTTTTTTTCTTGCGCATACACTCTTCTTCCTACTTTTCCTTCTCCCGTCATCCCTAATATCAAAAAAAAGAATTTTTAAATAATAAAAAAATGTTGATGAAAAATTTTTTTGTTATTTTCGCTTTGCTCCTTCTTGCTCTAGCAGACCTAGGTTCCTCAGCACCACAAAAAAGAGGCCCAGCATCACCAGCATCACCATTTGATATCGCCACACTAGCAACCGGTGTGAATCCAAAAGACCCTTTTGCTGGTGTTTCAAAAGATTGTGTAGCTGCAATCAACACGGTTATCCAATCAGGCCTTATGACTTGTTTACCAATGGATGCAATACTTAAATTAATGGGACAACCAGATTTACTTGCCGAACTTCAAAAAGATCCACTTCATGCTCTTCCTAAACTTAAACCAACCTTTGATGATGCCTGCTCAGTAACGAAATGCAAAGATGCTGATGTTCAAAATGCTACAGCAACAGTATTAGGTGGATGTGCAATTGACTTAGCTGCCAAAGTACCAATTGTCGAGCTTATATTCGCAGGGCTTGCTATTTACACACCAGCAATAGATATTATTTGCTTCAAAGATCATGCAGCCGATTACTGTCTCTTCGAAACAGATGCCATTCTCCTCTCATTACCACCACCACCACCAGGACTCGTAATTCCAGGTTTAGAGAAAGCTCCTCCTCTTCTTGCATCAGTTGCGATTACAGCACCAAGTAATGTATGCACACCATGTAACAAGGCTATTATCAACACTTTCTTTGATTACTATAAAAAGACACCAGTATTTGCGCAAGTATTGGCATCTGTTGGTTATGATGACAAGACAAATAGTTTTGTTAATCTTGCAGTTGATGTGAAATGTGGACTTATTCCATTCAATGGTAAATATATGACATTTTGCATATCTTTTATGTCTTTATAATAATAAGCGTATGTAAATAATAATAAATATCAATTGTCTTTGTTTTTTTAATTATTCTAGATGGCAACGTAGGTGATCCATCAAAAGGTCCAGATCCACCAATCCCTCATTAATTTATTAATTTATTTATATATTTATTGTAATAATTTTGATCTAAAAACTTTAAAAATAAATTAAAATATGTATACTGTTACACACCTACAATTATTATAAATAAAAAGAAATATTCTTAAAATACATTTTATATTATAACCCATTCATCCGCCCATTCATCCATTCATACATTCATCCATTCATCTATTCATCCATCCATTCATTCACATTAATTTGTTATGAAAGAGTGAATGAAACAAATATAAATAAATAAAATGGAAAAAAAAAAACTGACCATTATTTAATAAAAAAATTATTAATAAACTTACTTTGATTTCGTAATCTTATTAAATTATACATTTATTATATAATAAATACCATAATTACATAAAAAAATTTTTTATAATAAAGGCCACGAGGACATTTCAACAACAATAGTAAATAATACGTAATAATAATAGATAACTTTAAATAGCCGTAAAAATATATGTAACTGAAAAATCTATTAAATATTAAATAATTTTAAATATTTGAAGATCTTGACATTCATTATTATTATATTGAGGGGAGGGGTAAACGTGTGCGAGCGAGTGGGTGAGTGGGTGAGTGGGTGGGAAGAATAAAAAAATTTTATTATATTAATTAAAAAATTAATTTCCAACTAATATATTAAGCAAAGATGGATTGTTTGTTTGTGTGTATATTGAAAGGAGAAAATTAAAGTATTATAATTTTTTTTTTGTACAAATGTCGTGTAACTAATCATGGCTTATTTTTCTTTTATATTATAATTAATATAAATAAATAATACTATAACGATAATAATCAAAGTGTGAATGATTTTTTGACTATTAATATGATTAATTATATATATAGAAAAATAACTTTTTGTTTTTTGTGTAATAATTGATTTTTTTAATAAAAAGGCCATGTTTGAATCATCACATCCCTCTCCTCCTCACCAACGCACTTAGGTTTTTAAATTATTCTTCTTTCATTCTTCTCTACTTTCATTTCTCTCATTTTATTTTCTTTCTTTACTTTCACTCTTTATTCTCTCAGTAAATATATCATACCATATATTATATATATATTTTATATGTTATATTGTATATATATATATATATATATATATATATATTTTTAATATTATTTTTTTAATATTAATTTCACCACCAAAGTGCGTATAGTGTGCGAATTTCTCGTACAAAAAAAAAAAAAGAAATAAAAAATCAATCAAATTTTTTTTTATATAAATTTACAAAAAACACATTCTTTCTAACCAACTCCAAAAGTCCTACCTATTTTTATTTTTTTTTAATAAAATAATTTAATTTAAAAAATTTAGGACATTATCAATCTTTTTTTTTTTTCCTTTAAAAATTTTTTACTTTGATTACCCTTTCTTTCTCTCTCTTCTTTCTCTCTCCTACACGCATCCCACATTACGACATACACTCACTCACCCACACATATTTCATTTTTTTTTTTTTTTTTGATCAACGTTTAATGAAAATTAGCAAGTTAAATAAATAAAAAAACAAACAGGTAATTTTATTTTTATTATTAGTGTGTATATATATATGTGTGTGTGTGTGTACAATATATAATAAATGTTATTTTACTTGATATGACTAGCTAAAAATGTACGAAGAAAACAACAGTTCTCCTGTCACTTTGTTAACTCAAGCTTTTCATTTACCGTCTCATTTCAATACTCTAACTACTTCCTCATCAACCACAACCGCCAACACCGTCAACACAACTTCTGCGCCAACAATCATAGCCAACAACACGTCAATATCTATATCACCACCATCACCATCAACTGATACTATTCCTACTTATTACGATCAAAACAATTACGAAGATCACATTCTTCATAATCCTTGTTTTAACATGACCACTACTCCAACTATACATGTGCCACCACCAGCAGCAACATCAAATACAACATTTGATGGTAATGACTTATTTATCGGTGGTAGTAACAATGGCAACAATAATAACGTTAGAAATATTAATGATGTAGTAGGAGGAGATATGGGAATAGATATGGGAATTGGCATGAGTATGGATATGATCGAAAGCGGAGAAGGAGTGGTAGTTAGAGGAAATGACGATGGTATTGTTGATTGGTCAAATAATAATGACTTATTTGCTCTGCCGCAAAATTTTGTTGATAAAGATCCTGCTGCCAATTGGTTAATCTCTCAAACAACAAACAATAGTAATGACAATGGTAATACGTCTAACGGCGTAATAAATAACAATATTAATAATAATAATAATAACCATCATCATCATCATGTTATCGAAAATGATCAAACCTTTTTGACTACCCGTAATCGAAGTTTGTCAACTAACGATATTCATACTTTGTTAAAATTACAACAATTAAATCATGCTCGTACTCAACTTCACTATAATGAAAATAATGATAATGACAATAATAATGACCCTAATAACGATGTTAATAATAATGATTTGATAAATGCACACCAATTTCAACAATATCTTCAACAACAATTACAACAATTACACAATCAGCAACAAAACAATGAAATTATTAGCAATGATCAAAATAACCTCGTATTCAATCCGCATTTTAATAATCAGCATATTAATAGTCAACAACAATTCAACCCTCATAACCAATTCATTCATAATAATAATAATCATCATAATCATAATCATATAAATGATAACCAACAATTCAATCAACATAATCATCTCAACAATAACAACAACAACAACAACAACAACAACAACAACAACAATAATAATGACAACAACAAAAACAACAACGACAACATTAATCATCATCACATTCATCAGCATAATCATCATAATCATCATAATCATCACAATCATCACAAGCATTCTCAATTAACCACCAGGAGTTCCGCTCCAAATTTACATGTCATAAATCATACTCAAAAAATTAACGGGTTCCAATCCAGATTCAAGCTCAATCCCGACAAAAAAACTCAAAGAAGTATGCCTAATATGCAATTATGTGCTCAAGCTCATTCAAACAAAGCCAATAACAATATTAATATTAATAACAGTATTAATAATGGTAATTGTAATGATAATTATTTTATAGTTAATGACTGTTAGACAATTGTGATAAATATTAAATACTAATTTCTCTTTTTTTTTTTTTTAATAGAAAATGATTTAGTGAATGTTCATTCTTCAACATCACCACCACCGCCACCACCACCACCAACACCATCAAATAATAATACATCTCAGTCTCAATCGTCATCTTCGTTCTTGAAACCACCACGTAGAGGTCATACACGTAAAAGATCATTATCTGCACCTATTACACCATCTCCATCACATCAAAGTTCAAACAATGATCATCAATCAACAATCAAAGACTCTTTTTCCTCGACTGCATCCACCCCTACCTCTACCACGCCATTAACTCAACATTTTCCAATTAAATTTTCTTTGGTTGGTTTGTCATCACCATCATCGCCATTATCGTTATCATCTAGACGATCAAACGCCTTACCAATTCAGATCCAACGAAATCCAAAGCATTCGCAAGCTAGTCCTCCAATGTCGTCCGAAGAATATCAACGTAAATTGAATGAAGAATTGGAAAAGGTTGATTTTGAAGATATCACTGTCAGTGAGCTCAAAGAAATGTTGAGGCAACGTGGTAAACCTGCAACTGGTAAAAAAGCTGTCCTTATGCAAAGACTTCAAGAAGAAATTGAATTGGTCAAAGCAATGAAAAATAATAAAAATAATAATGTTGGTAATGATAATAACGATGCTGATGATGACAATGTTAATAATAACAATAACAATAATGGCAATAATAGTAATCTGCAATATCAACAAATGATTACTTCACCAACAACATCATCTAGTGGTTCATCATTACAAAGATGTATTGCAAACTTACATATATCAAGTCCTCCGACACATTCTAGAAGATTTAGCCCTTATGGTGGTGTTCCAAGTAGTCCAAGAATTATTCCCAACGGAATGAATAATATTTTTTGTAGACCAACTTCCACCAATAATAATGGTTTTAATAACGATGATTGGCAATTTACTAGTATGAAGTTGATGCAAAACCACGATCCCAATAACAATCATGAAAATAACATCAATTGCGGTAATAATAATAATGATCATAATATTATGATTCATCATAATATTTCTCATCAGGATCTTTTTCTACAACAACAACAACAACAGCCATCATCTGCTCCTGCTACCATCACCGAATTTGATTATGCTGCAGTTTCTTCATCATCATTATCATCATCATCGTCGTCATCATCATCTAGAACTAACACGACAACGTCTTCACCAATTGTTAATAAAAATGAAGACTTTATTATTAATCCATTTATGCTTCAACAGCAGCAGCAATTACATCAATTACATCAATTACAAGAAAGACTACCATCATCAACACCTGCAATAACTACAGAATTCATCGAATCGTATGATTATATAAGTTCAATGTCAATGAATCCTGCTGCTGGTGTTAATACAAATGATACGAGTACAATGGCAATAAATCCTCAAATGCTAAGGATCAATTCATCTTCATCTTCACCAGGTGTTGAAAATATAAAACAAGAGCCAATTTCTTGTGCTCCTCTATCAACTAAAACTTCAATGTCGAGTATGCATGGTGATGACAGTCAATCATCTGCTTCTTCTTCATCTTTAGCATCATCGAATGATCCAAATATAATTGTTAATGGAATGTTAGCAAATCATCATCATCATCACCACCACCACCATCACCAAAATTTAGCATATCAATATCAAGAAAACGTACATGACCAACAAGTAATGATCATCAAAGCTGAAGGTAACTATCTATCTATCTTCACACACGTGTGTGCGTGTATTTATTAAAAAAGAATATAATAAGAGAATTTTTAATAATATTTTATAATTAATATATGTACTTTTTAACAGATAATTTAAATTTCCTAAATTATTCACCAGAAACAAATCCTATTCCACATAATGATCATTATCAACAATCAACTCAACATGTACCAATGCAAATTGAACTTCAACAAGATGGATTGACATTTGGTGGTGATAATAATTGGTAATTGATAAATTGGGGGAAAAAGGGCTATCATATTATTTATTTAAGACTTTAAAAAGATAGAATTATTTATTTATTATTTATTGTTACCCATATTACTTATTGTTATTATTGTTATTAGGCATTTAGGCATTATATAAATATTATGTATTATTTATTATTTATTTTATTGATTTTTTTATACTTATTAAATATCCCTTCTTCACCCCTTCTTTTTTTTAAAAAATTTTGTAGTATAGTTTTTTTTTGCATTTTCATTTCCATTATTATTTTTTTATCTCTTTTTATCTCTTATATTGGGAATTTTAACAAAAAAAAAAAAAAAATAGATCAAGCAATTAAAAATTTTATATAAATATTATAAATATTATATTTAAAAAACTTTACATATATATATATAAAAAATATAAATATATAAATATTAAAAAAAAAAAAAATTATATATTAACATATATTGACTGATTGGTGTGTGAAATATTGAAATTGATTCTTTTAAACATGACTCTTTAAATCTCTCACTTTTGCCCTCTCATTCGACTCCTTTATAGGCAGATTGGCATAAACAAAGCACTTTTCTGACTCATAAAAGGGCTCAAATAATTGATCATACCCAAAAAACGAACCTAATTCTTCTTGCGGTTCATCTCGAATAAATAATTGGTCAAGGAGAAAAATTTTGAAGATTTATGATTTACCCAACAAATTGTATTTCTAGGTTTTGTGTTAAGGTTGTATCAATAAAATCTGCTGTTTGGTTTGATCAAAATTAAAGTTAAATTTGATCTTTAAATAATCTTAATTGTTCGCGAAATGTAACAGGAATTAATCAGGGGCACAATGTCTGTTAAATTGTTATACTACATACAAATTTTTATGCAAAACAATAGCAAAAAACGTGAAAAAAAAGAAAGCTATATTGAACTGAACTCCCGATCATGTTCAAGTGCGGAAGTTCAAAATGAAACTTTTTTAAAGTTCGGTTCAAAGTTCACGCATGATGAACACGTTCAGGTTCATTAGTTGACCGACGAATGACGTTGGTCCTAAACCATCGAAAAGCAAGTTATATTTCTGATCGTTTTTAACACTTGCTAGATAGTTTCCATCCTCTCACAACACAAGTACAGCTCAAGTCAAGCGTAAAAACAGCCACTACCACTACTACGGGATCATTGGCGGAATGGTGTGGTTCAAATATTTAAATGCTCAGGTTCAAAAAAAGTGATACGATCTTGTTCAAGTTCAGAGTTCAGTTGAACATAAGAACACTATCTGCTTAATAATCCACCCACCCATCATCCATCCATGGTCTTGAGCCGAGCCATTAAAAATATGCCTTGTTCTGATTTTAGAGGAGCAAGCACAAGCACATATTTATTACTATTACTAGATTTATTGCTTTTATTATATGTCACCTATAAACCTACATGTAAATTTTATCACTGTTTTTTTCAGCAATAGATGTGATTTTTATTCTTATTGTCATTATAAAATGGATTGATTATTTGTTTGAGCGATTGTCCAAAATTGTTCATGTGGCAACTTGTCACGCGGACATGCCCGCCCGCTCATTTTTCCGGATATTTCCGGAGCTTATTTGTCAACGAAATTGAAACTATGTGAAATCGAAATTTTATAATTAAAATTTTGGGGTGGGGTGTTTGAATATGAAATTCTGATTGGTTAATTTGAATTTCACATGCGTGAATTGCAAATTCACAATAGATTTCATTTTCACGCAGGTCCATTAAAAAAATTATGAGTCGCGTGGTAAAGACTCATCTTTGATGATTATCAAATTTATACGTGTATTATTAATTAATAATCAAAATTAAAATTATTATATTTTAGGAAATTATGGATTTTTTACTATATTAACATTAATATAGAGATAAATTATGCATGGTTTGAAAAAAAAATCATGCGCATTGCATTTTTGTTTTCACATTTCCAATTTTAATCATATAAATAAATAAATTAATAAAAATGAAAAACAAAGAGAACGAGAATATTAAAAAATAGCTGTACAACAAACAACCAATTCGAAAAGTAGCTTCTACTAATAATGACAATGGAAAAGTATTTACCCAGTTCGGAAGACAGCTTCTTCTACTAATAATGACGAACAACAACAATGGCAAAGTATTTACCCAGTTTAAAGGACAGCATCGTCTACTAATAGTGATGAAAAATAACAACAAAGTATTTATCCAGTTCAAAGGGCAATTCGCCTTCATTAAAACTTTCATCAAATTCATCCGAACCAGTTATTTCTTTGGAATAGATTAAAAAGACATTTTAATATTAATTGTGCACAAATTTAAATATATCTATTATGTAGATCAGTACCAAAGATAGATTGGATACGGAAACAACTGGAAATTTCTGATCCTATTTAGTATTAGAAAACAAGTCAAGTTTTATATAATGTCATATGGGGCATGCTGCAACAAAACCAGACAAAGTGAACATTGGTATTATCAAGAATTTCAGGGATCAATATGTTTGT